TGCTCTAGACTATGATATATGAGGTAAAGCTTTTGTCAGGAGAAGTAAGTTTCTCTTCGGCACACTTCTAAAATAAGCAAATTAAGCTCTTAGGGCAGAGTGATTGTGCAAACTCAGTATCTCCTAATCAAAGATTTTCTGAGTTGATACACTGAGCCAAAACAAAATAACCATGTTTTACTTAGTCTATCTTGCTTTCTTTGTTTGATAAAGGTGTAACTGTCAGTTTTCTCTTACTGAAATATTTGAAGTAATTTGTACATAATATCAGGAATCTAGTAGATCTCACACCACCAGTTAAAATTAGTTGTAGCATGTACAGAGCTGTAAACAGTAAAAATGATGTGCATTGATATCCTCTGAGCATGTTTTTCCCGTGCTTCTGCAAGTTCAGAGCACTGTATCCTGTTGCTTAGAATGATTAGTGGTGGTATGAATTAATACATTGGCCTTCTATTCTAATGAGTTCATGCTGACTTCTAGGTACTTTCCATGAGATTTTCAGAATTTGAGACAAAATATAGCCCTGAGAAACAATGTACAGAGGCGCTGCAGAGGTAGCTCCGTGGTCTAAGTGCCTGCCTGGCAAGCACAAGGACTGGGTTCAATCCCCAGCACCACATGCTGTGCTGGCCCTACCTCTGAGCTACAGAGTGAGACCCTGTACCAAATACATAATTTTATTTTTATTTTTTATTTTTTAATGCATTTGGTACAGGGTCTACAGGGACTACAGGGTCTCACATAGATCAAACTTGTACTTATCCTCCTGTTTTCAGCGTCCCAAATGGCCGCTGCTCTTGGCCTAAGCAAGCACTTTAGTTTGCCGAGCTATCTGGCTGGCCTGTAAGAATTGGATCCTCTTGTGGCTTCCTTTACTTTACAACTTTTACACAGATGACTTTGAAATGTTTTCAGGTATCCCCAGCCAGATCTTTGTCTCAGTTCTTTTCATTTATGTTCCTGGTATGTGGATTACTGACAGTAATTATTTTGAGCTTTTGTTTTCTCAAATGAAAAGTAGGGGTAATGGCTTCTTTTTTGCAGAATTGTCGTGAAGATTAAATGAGAAAACAAAGCATCTATTAGTGACTTTGCACATAGCAGGTATTCAACAAAATCGTGTTTCTTCTCTACTAGTCTGATTCAATTTATGATTCCCTCAAAGCAACTCGTAAGATTCTTGTTTTAACCGAGTGTTCGATTCTTATTCTTCAAGCTCATTCCCAAATACATTTTTCTTTTTTTGTATTTAGTGCAGGGTCCAGGGGGGTCTCACACAGATTGGACTCATAGTGATCCTCCCGTTTTCATACCCCCAAGTGCCAGGATTACAGGTGTGCGCCACCATACCCAGCCTCAGTCACTGTCTCAGCACACCCGGGGGGTGGGGTGGGGTGGCTGGTGCAGCAAGCCTGGGATCAAACCCGGTCCCTGCATCTGCCTCAGCACAGGCTTTAGTCCGCAGAGCTATCTGGCTTAAAAGGTCTTAAAGACCTTTTCTGTGAAAGCTTTATAATCTTTTACTGTTTCTTCTCCGTCCTTGAACTTAAGATACTGTTTTATAGTTGACTTGGTTATTAATCTTACTCAACCTTGTGGCATCCTTGTAGTTATCATTTGCTATTTAATTCTTAATTTTGTATACTCATTACCTTGTTTTTAAAATTAAATCATTCTAGGGGCTGGGGAGATGGCTCAGTGGAATAAGCACTTCCTTGGCAAGTGCAAAGGCCCGAGTTCAATCCCCGGTTCCGCCAAAAAAAAAAAAAAAAAATTAAATCATTCTTTAAGAAGGGGGTGAGATAAACTTAAATCCTCTCATTCTCAGGAATATGGAGACTCATTTTTTTGAAACAGGTTTTCTCTATGCAGTTTAGGCTGCCCTTGAACTTACTTTATAGCCCAGGATGAGACCATCGTATTAAGCGAAATAAGCAGACTCAGAAAGTTAAATATCACGTTTTTCTTTTATATGAGAAATAAAAGAAGGGAGAGATGACAGGAAGCTGCAAAATAGACTTTGGAAAATGGGGAAGAGGTGAGAGCATGGGAAAGGTGAGGGAGATTGAAAATGACTAAGATGTGTTTTATGTATGTGCTGATTTCCCAAGGTGAACCTCAGTATTCTGTATCACTAATATGCACTTACAAAATGGAAAAAGGGCTATATCCTCAAAGGGCCCTTTGGGGCCTGCCAGATAGCTCAGCGGACTAAAGCGCCTGCTTAGGCAGATGCAGGGACTTGGGTTCGATCCCCAGTATGCCATGCTGGCCCTGCCCCCGGGGTGTGCAGAGACAGCAGCTAAGACTGGGCATGGTGGCATATGCCTATAATCTCAGCACTAGGGAGGCCGAAAATAGGAGAATCACTGCGATTTCCGTCTACGTAGTGTGACTCTGTAGACCCTGTAGGAAATACATAAAAAATAAAAAGGGCTTTTGGAACTAGCTAGTTATATCATAAGGGCTAATTTTTTTGACTTTGTTGCAGTATCTTATACTCAGAAAATGCTTAATGTGATTAAAATAAAAACAAAAGGAAGATAATATGTAATCACTTGTTACCTCTCCTAAACATAGTAGTGGTATTCTGAAATTTACCTTAAACTAGGTCATAATAGTTTGAAGCTTTTCTTTTTAAAATTAGGTTTATCACTTTTTTTTGAGATGATCTTGCTGCAAGGCACAGGCAGGTCTTAAACTCACTGTGTAGCCCAGGCTGGCTTTGAACTCATCAATCCTCCTACCTCAGTCTCCTGAGTCCTGGGATTATAGGTACGTACCACCGCACCTGGCCTTACTGGTACATTTTTGACATACAAAATCATCACATTCATCATAGGGAATTTGTACCTGTACATACTGTATCTTAATTCCCTTTCCTTCTCTTCAATCTTTCTTTCTCCCTCTCTATTTATAAAACTTGTTTTTTTATTTTGCTGTACTGGGGATTGAACTCAGGACCTTGCACTTGGCAGGCAAATGTTTATTCTAATGAGCTGTTTCCTGGCCCTCGATTTATAAAACTTTGTTTCTATTATTTCTTTCTAGTTTTTAAAAATCCTTATTCCCTTTCTTCCCTCATCTTCTGTTGCCCTTCTCATTTGAACATTTTATACTCACCAATATCTATCCTCTGCTTTGGTCTTTATGTACCATTTGGGTTTCTCACATAAAGAAACAATGCTCTATTTAAACAATACATGTTTCTGACTTATTTCACTTGAAAGTATAGTCGTCCCTAGGTATATCCATTTACTTAATGTCTCAAGCTTGTCCTTTATGACTGAGTAGAACTCACTTGTATATAAAACCCACATTTTCTTTATTCATTCATCTACTGATGGGGATGTGGGCTGTTAGCAAGATTTCTCCTCCCCTCCCTCCCTTCTTTCCTTCCTGACTTTCTGAGACAGGGTCTCACTGTGCAGTTCAGGCTGGCCTTGAGCTTACTTTTAGCCCAGGCTGATCTTGAACTCCCAGTGATCCTGCCTCAGCCTCCCAAGTGCTGGGATTACAGGTGTGCGT